CTCTCTCTCTCTCTCTCTCTCTATATATATATATATATATATATATATATAAATAATAATAATTATATATACATAATTATTATTATATTTATTTATATATATATTTTCCTTGCAACTTCAACTTTATTCTATGACTATTTTATTAGTTATTTAAAGCCTTTTTTGTAACTCTGATAATCTTCTGAATCTTCATTTTTGAAGTGTTGACTGTGTCACAGTCCCAGGCCTTTGCGACACTCGTCGCACAGTGACAGTGAATCGCAATTGAGCCTGAGATGATGTCACCATGTCTTGTGATGGAACGTGATCACTTCATCTTCAAGTGAGGGGAGGAGCGCTAAAGGCTTCATTTATTGTACCTCCTACAGGCAGGAGTTGTTTTATGAGTTGACGTTCTATTTGTTCTACACTCCCTCGCTTGTCCATTGCTAAGTTGCCTGTCGTGACGTGGCTAAGAAGCTCACATTTCTCTGTGAGGGCTCCATTTTAGGCCTCTCTTTTTTTTTCTCAGGTCAAAGTCTACAGTGGGTGCGTACCTGTGTTTACCTTCACCTCCTCCGTTGCAGGAGAAACCCGTCTATCGTCTTTCTCGCAGCCCGCCCCTGTGGCTGTGTTCCTCCCATCCCCCCCACCTTCTCTCCATCCAATCCCAGAGAATGCACCTGAGCAGATTTGCCTGCAGGGCTCCGCACCTAAGTGAATGCTGATTGGCCAGGTGCAGGCCGCCTGCCTGGGGGCCGCTCTCTACCAATGGCGACGAGGCTGCGTGACTCATAGGGAGAGGACGGCTCGCTTCACGACACTTCTCCTTTTTCTGCCTCCAACTCATTCGTCGTCTTCTTTTTGTTTTTTTGTTTTTGTTTATTTTAGCCGCCCCACTCCCCAACCCCTCACCTCATCTTTCAGATTGTTGGTGTGAGAAAGGTGTGGAGCGGGCCTCGGTTGGTTGTTGCAGACCTTCAGTTGTCGCTTAAAGGCTCTATTTGGATTAGTCCCCTCCACCTCGCCACCCACTTGTTTCGCCCCTTTTATTTTTGACTTTTTCATTGGTTGTATTGACGTCACGGCTTGTTTTGATGCTTTCCGCGATGGATATGGTCACCTGCATCCTGTTCATTTGAGGTTAGTGATAGTTTTCTCTCTTTTAATTGGCGTCAATGCATTGAGGATTAGAGGGTTTGTTACAACACAAAGAAAAAGTGACATGTTAACGGGTTGCTACTTTGCCATTGCTGACAGACATCAATGCAATTCATTTTCAAGGGATGGATGGATTACACTTCATAATTTTTAAGTCAAAGCTAAGTAGTTGGTTCAGAATTTAATTAGGATTTCGGCACCTGGGTTTGGCTGTGGCTCATTGCCTTATAAGGTGTGTTGAAATAAGGGCGGGAGCTGACAGTTTTGCAAGGCCCTCCAAACCGACCGACCAAGCCCACATGTTCTATTTTAATCATAATAGTCACTTATTGTACATTGCGTCACTTTTGATTCCATTTTGACTCTTACCTATTTTGTAGTCGGTTTCTTTTGTGTTGTTTTTGCCCGCTGCTGTCTTTTTTTGCACTAAGTCAGTCGTGCATGGCTTCCCAATCAAACGATCAACAGAACAGAATGTTGTTCGTCTTGTAGCTTTATGAAAAGGGGGTGACGGAAAGGGGGATCAGAAGATCTTCATTTCACTTCATTGGGAGGTTCAACCACAGTGTCTTGTTCCTCTTGTGCGTGGCACTTTAACCCCCCCAGACCCCCCTTTGCGCCCCCCAAGCTTTTAGAGCTTTGTGTGGAAGATCTCAAGCTCCACAGATGCATGTTGCAGCTTCCTGTTTCAGCAGAAACTGACGCTGGGGTCACGTTTAACATGAGCTGCGACTTCTCAAGCAGGCCATTTTGACAAAATCAGACCCACGCTTTAAGATGTTCTCACTCATTTGGCACTTGGTGGCTCATTTGGTTGCCTGATGTCGGTTGGCGCGAGAAGCACACCAAGAGAAAGTGTATGACTCATTGGTTTGGATGAATGGTCTGCCTGACTTTGCATGTTGACCCAGTCACACTGTGTGACTCCTCCTTCTCATGTCACCGCTTTGCATTGAAAATTAGGACCAGTTCACGACTCCCGCTCTGTTTATAGAGGCTGGCGATCGGGTGATGGGGGTGGTCAGCAGCGGTCACTCAGTGCCTCCTTTCAATAACGAAATGAAAGCATGTTGAATCCTGTCAATACATGATTCGGCACTACATGACAGAGACTTTGGCATATCAAGAGGAGGATGGGTGGAGTTCCAGCGTGCGCTGATATGTACAAGTTAAAGTTTGCAAGAATGCAGTTTCTGCTCGTGTCAGTCCAAAAGGAATTTTAATTACCGTCACTGAAAAAGTTCAGATTTGTTGTTTGGCTTTTAGATGGTGAGCAGAGCCCCTTCATTTCCCACAAAGAAGAACCAATTGCATCAAATTGCCAATCCAGGATTGGACAATGGAGGAATTTGGAAAATTCTGAAAAGTTTCCACATTTCTCAGTAAATTACAATGACAATGATAATATATATTCATACACAGGAAGAGGCCATACAAATTAGGATTGACAGATTTAGGAGGCGGTTTTATCCTAACTGAATTGTGGGCGCTTATGAAAAGGTGTTTACTATGAGGTGTTTTGATATTTCAGCCTGCACTTAACAAAATGTTTTTCTTATCATTGAATTCAAGCCAAACCCAAATGCAACCATTTTGTGAACCTAAGTTAATAATTGCAAATTCTATCTGGAAATTGTAAAAGGAAATATAAATCCAGAAAACAATAGTTTCCCATATTTTTGGGGAAATTCTCCCAAAATCTGGACCAAACTTAACTCCTGTAGGGGAGACTGGTGACGTTGGTAACACAGCTCAGTTGTAACACATGAAATTGCTCTAATTGGGAACAAGTTAAGAATCACCTAATTTACCTTGCATATGTTAAGCCCTGAGACCACAGCTGAAAAAGTAGTCGTTAAGCAAACAGAAAACTTTTTTTTTTCTCAAATTATTTTTATGATTACATAGCCTGTTTTATAGTTTAACTCATTAAATGTACAATATATCATGTTCATTATGTTTCTGTTTAGCTATGTGTTTTTGAGATTTGATTGTGGTAATGTTTTAACTCACTTAGCCCTTCTGGCCTGCTTCATCATTTTATCTGGCCTGTGGAAGCAATTCTTGTGTGCCACTGTCATTCTTGCTGAAATCTCTACCATCATTTTGAATGGCATACGGAGGAATAATAACATGGAGATAATGAAAGCAATTTTTGTTTCCAAGCCTCATGTTACAGTACCGGTAACTTGAACAATAGTTGAACAAACTATTATCTTGATATTTGATTTTAAAACCCGTGATCTATCAGTTGTTGTGTACATGTACAATATGAGGAGATTAAACATTTGTATGGTTTCACCATTATAATGGCCGTCTGCAGGAACCCATGACCATAATGTGGCCCGCGACCAAATTGAGTTTGACACCCTTGTTTTAAATCAAAGACAAGCTAGCCCATTGCTAATGCACATAGGGACAGTTGTAACAAACCTGGTTGGGGTAAACTGAGACATGTATAAAATTATATAATTTACCACAAACTAAATTTAATTTGAATGCATCCGTACAATTGTAGTATTTATTGAAAAAAACAATTGATTATACAGTCCAGCCACATGTGAGGAACATACCTTTGCACCTTCACAAGTAACTGATCATTCAGCTCCAGCTTTCCGAACCAACCAAGCTTGTGCTCCCAGCCTCTGATCAGCTACCGACCAAGCTTCTCCTCAACCAACCGTATCTCTGCTCCAGTTATGAACCCAACCACTCAAAAGCTCTCTCCTGAAGAAACATTGACTTGGCTGAACTTAAGAGCCACAGTGGCTCAACTCTTACAAAAGCCTGGCAACAGAAACTCCCTAACACAAAGGAAGAAAAAAAATCCAGCCAGAACTGACACACCTATCAAGATAATGCTGTGGGACCTATTTTCATGCTAAGTGTAAGCCTAGGGCAAAGCGCAGTCTAACTGCGCATGGGTGAAGTTTTCTTTCGTTTGGTAGTTTATTCGCCTTTGCAGAATTGAGCCTAAAGGGGTGTTTGCGTCTTTGTGTACCATTGTGGGATGGAAGTAGTCTTCCCGGCCGATCCTCGTGGCATCCCTCATCTGTATCAAAATGAGGGTGTTCCAAAAGCAGTAACTCGGAGTATGCCATGATTGACATTGTGGAGACAGAAATAGACTCGCTGGGGTCTGTGCATGACATTGGCAGGTACACTGCAAGCTTTCCCCTTCCGAATGATGTAGTCACCCGTACACGTGATATGGGCATGGGCAGAGACCACCTTGCACCCCCGATCGTGCATCTCTCTATGTGATCAGCCGCACCCCTGCCTCCCCGCAATCGTGACTGGGATGCTGTTAAAATATTTTTTAACGGATTATAATCCCGTCTGGGATTTGTTTTCTACAGTGATTCAGAGGAAGTCGCTGATGGTGTAGTGTAACACTCACCTGATTTGTAGTGGTACACTCGTGGGCAGTGTGGGATCGCTATGCTCCAGAACCCCCCTGCGACCTTGTCCAGGATAAGTAGTTTTGAAAATGGATGGATGGATAGATGGATGGATGGATGGAATGATTCAGATGGATTGTCACATTCTGGTGTTATATTTATGAATGAAATCCGCTGACTTCAACTCGCACATCTGCGAAGCGCCAAATTTGTCTGCCTGCGGCTTGATTAAATACACCAAAATCACCACCTACTCTACACAATAGACTTCCTCTTAATTAGCCTAAAATGTAGTCTACTTTTTGTAGCCAAATTTGCAGATGAGCTGGGAGGTTAGGCAGGAACGCCCAGTGAGGCATCGCATGTCTGTCAAATTCACAAACACGCTTAAGTAGACTTTTGTCCCGGCATGAAAATGACGATGCGCCCGTTCATTCATTCTTATAAAGATTCATATTAGTTTTACATCAAATACTGAGCTACAGGAGTTTTGTTTAAATGTTTTGAACAACAAGCTTTTAATATCTTTCATCATTTTCATACCCTTTCTTTCATTATCCTACATTTCACCCCAAGCTATGTTACAACTTACCCGGACCATGGAGTCAATTGTATCATTTCACATTTTGCATTTGAAACTACGCCATGCATTTTCGGTTTATGTTGCGCAGGCATTTTCCATGCCATTTATTAGTAGACATTTGGAGCTAATTTGCAGAGCAGTTTGAACACCCAAGCTCAAAAGACCTCAACGTTAGAGACACAGATGTAAAATATGTCACCCCCAGTTTCCTCTATACTCGAATGTGATGAAACAAACAAACAAACAAACAAAAAAGACATTTCTATAACAGTCATTTGTGTAAAAAAACTACTTTAAAAATTCTCTGTCTCGTTTTTATTAATAGAGAATATTTTCCCCACATTCAATTAATTTTGAATAAATTGTTCATTACTGTTTAATTTTGATATTACAAAACTAAAAGTTTGTACAAATTAAATCAAAAAGAATGTTTGGCTGGAAGATTATTATTATTTTTTTTTGCATTTGCATACTATTTCCATGTCGCTTTCTTCATTCCACTCACTCTCTGTAAAGGTTGTGCACCCGTGAAGTTGCCTGCTTGGAAAATAAAATCCGGGTCGGGAAGATTGAAAAAACACCCACCCCTACCTTGAAGCCTACTGCTTAGGTGTTATTGAGCAAGGCATTTTTGTGTGTAGGATGTGTGCATGTCCATCGGGGATGTGGTGATGTGTTCAAGGCAACATGCGTGCACTGGTTTGTTCCAGCCCATCCTTGATTGAAAAAAAAAAAAAAACGTAATAAATACCAGTACATCAGTCAATCAATTGAGCAAGTGTCTGCTAATGTTGCAACTGTCTCATACTCTGAGCATGCTGTGACTAGCAGCCTTCTTATTGCTTTCTCTGTCTATTTCCAGTTCAGTATTAATAGACATGATTTTTCTTTTTCTCCTCAGACTTTTTTCAGAGTTTCAAGAGGATGTGATACAATTAAACCACTCTCTGTTCCCAAAACACAAAATAGTTATCAGCTACCTTTCATTCAGACCTTCC